ACGGCCTGCCCCGTCCAGGGTCACCTGCCTCGTTCAGGCACAGCCAGGCACTTCCTGGGCACTGGCCACAGGAACCCGCTGCCCAGAGGCCCTCAGGGCGAGAAGAGGGTCACACACAGGGCCAGGGTGGGCCGCCCGGAGCAAGTTCATCCCAGGCTAAACTAGGTCTCCCCGCGGGTCACGGGGAGCCAGTGACCCCAACAGCGAGGCTGACAGCCCAGCTCCAGCCTCATCAGAAAGGAAGAGGAAGGGCCTTCAGACCTGAGGCCCCAACAAACCAGCATCCGCTGCCCGTGCTCAGTGCACAGACGGGAAGGAAAGCAGAGGCTGGCCCGGGTCCTGCCATCACTGTCTGTTCCCTGGAACTCTGCGCACGTTTCGTCTCCATGGAGACAGCTGGGAGCCGAGGGCCAGGGCGGCCGGGAGGGCCCAGCATCCCGGTCACACTGGGCCGAGAGGAGGGGGTGGGGGGGGACCTAGGGCTTTCATCCGGAGGCCAGCAGGTTCCCAGGCACACACAGGGCCAGCTCCCTCCTGGGTTTCCCAGGCACAGGACGCAGAGCCTCAACTCGGTCCCTGAGCCGAACTACCAGCCAACATTCCAAACGGAAAGGCAGCAGAAAGGAAGGAAGCAGGAGTGCCGCTGGACCCAGGGAGGGAGGGAAGAACAGGAAAGGAAACTGCAGCGACAGCATCCGGGAGCACAGAGGCCGTGTCCCAGGACAGGGGGGAGCACGTCCCGGCACTGGTGGAGGGGCAGGAGCGGGCGCTGTCGGGAGCTCCGAGGACCCTCTGGACCAGGGCCCGGCAGTGAGCAAGTCGGCAGAGGGGGGGCTGCGCTCTGCCTGAACTTGGTGCTTAGAGGGGAGACAGGAAAACCAGACCCTTTCGTGGCACCTCAACTCCGAAGCATATGACTATAATAACAGTTTTTTTTAAACTGCAATCAATTAAAAAAATAATTGCCGTTGAAGGCACGCTTTAACAATCAAGTGGAAGGGCCCTGGCCAGTTTGGCTCCGTGGCTAGAGCGTCAGCCTGCAGACTGAGGGGTCCCGGGTTCGATTCTGGTCAAGGGCACATGCCCGGGTTGCGGGCTCGATCCCCAGTGCTGCGCCTCACCCAGGCCTGCGTAGGTCCTCCGCTTGCTCAGGCTGGCGGCTTTCACCAGGAACATGCAGGACTGGTGCGTCATCCAGGCACAGAACGCCAGGAGCAGGGCCCCCAGGACGATGCCGCACTAGAGGGGAGAGAGACGCTGACGAAAGGGAGCTGCCGCAGCCCTCGCCGCACACGCTGCACACCGGTCTCGGTGCCCGGAAGCCCCTCGGCAGGTGGCCCAGTCGTGCCTGTGGGCGCAGGGCCCGCTCCGTTCCCTGCCCGGCCAGCACTGAGAGGGCCAGTCCCTGGTGTGGGCGCCACACCCTGTGTCCAGGGACATCAGTTCTGTTCGTGATCCTGAAAGAGCAGCAGGGGCCACCCCCTCCCAGCCCCCCGAGTCGGAATGCACGCCCCACGCGTCTCTCAGTCCTCCACGCCCCACTATGGGCCTCTTCCAGCCGCCTGGACCAGCCGCTGTGCGGCACACACCCTGGAAGGAAGAGACCAGAGGTGACATTCACGCCTTTCCTGTGCGTTAGACACCGACCATCTGACCCAGCATCTGCGCCCTAGGACTGACCCGGGAGGAATGGAAACACGTGTTCCCGCAGACACCCGCGTGCCCACAGTTACAGCAGGGTCATGTGAGACCCAAAGACCGGGGAAGAAGCCGCGTGTCCTCCTGGTGTCTC